AGAAAATGGAGGAGGGGTAAGATTATTCCTTATGAATGTAAGAAAGTAAGACCAGGGAAGGACAGGACTAGAAAAGTGAACTTTGCTCACAGCCATGCACAAGGGAAAAGGCACAAGAGAAATTAACAAAATGAAATAACATTCACTAATAATAGAATGGAGGAAAACAGGAAAGTGGTATTTAATTGGTAGACCAAATGGAACCCCAGAGATTAGAACAATTCATTAGTAATTAGCTGCTCAGTAGGTGTTTAATAAGTGTTTTGCCTTGTACTAGACACTGGTTAGAAAACAGAAAAATAAGCTAGGATTCTTCAATAACTACTTCTGGTGGTGGACATACCTAACTAGATAAACAATCATTGAATAGTATCTCTCTCTCTTTCTTTTAGATTTCTTTTTCTCTTTTTCTTTCTTCCTTTCTAAGATTTATTTATTGGGTCTAGTGCTGTGGCATGGAGGGCTAAGTCCCGGACCTGCAGTGCCGACATCCTATATGGGCACCAGTTCAAGTACCAACTGCTTCTCTTCTGATCCAGCTCCCTGCTGATGTGCCTGGGAAGGCATCAGAGAATATCCCATGTCCTTGAGCCCCTGCATCCACGTAGGACACCCAGAGGAAGCTCCTGGCTCCTGGCTTTGGATCAGCTCAGCTCCAGCTGTTGCAGCCATTTGGGGAGTGAATCAGTGAGTGGAATATTTCTCTCTCTGTTTCTACTTCTCTCTGTAACTCTGTCTTTCAAATAAATAAAATAAATCTTTTAAAAAATTTGAAATGCAGAGGCAGAGAGAAGTCTTCCATCCACTGGTTCACTTTCCAAATGGCTGCAACAGCCAGAGGTGGGCCAATCCTAAGCCAGGAGCCTGGAGCTTCATCTGGGTTTCCCACATTGGTGCAGAGGCCCAAGCACTTGGGCCATCTTCTGTTGCTTTCCCAGGTCTTAAACAGAGAGCTAGATCAGAAGTGGAGCAGCTGGAACTTGAAATGGTTCCCCTATAGGATGCTGGCACTTCAGGCAGTGGCTTTACTCACTAAACCACAGCACTAGCTCTTAGTATTCTCTTTTATGTTGAAGATATTAAAAGTCAAAGGAATTCAGTGGTGTGGATCATCAAAGCAGACTGATAACCTCTGAGAACAGATCATGTTTCCTTTTGGCTTTGCTCCTGACACTTCTCTCTGACACTAGTCCTAACAGTCATTTTTCACTTGGGTCCTTGTCATCATAGTCAAATATACAAAAAATGATGTCTGTACAATAACTTAGATTTCAGTGAGAAAATCAATGTAGCTCATAGCATAATTAGATTGCTAGTTGTTACAAAAGTCTTTTTGTAATTTTTAAAATAGATTTCCTCTTTATTCAGTATAGAATACAAAATACACAGAGAGAAATGCTTTGAGCATCAAAATATAATATTAAGACAAATTATTCAATAATGAGTTTGGTTCACTTAATTATATGGAATAGAATCAAAAAATTGAACTGAAAGAAATCATAGAAATATTTTATCTAATTTCATTTTACAGATGAGGAAATAAAGTCTAATGAGATGGCAATCACAACAAACACATAATTAACAGATAATAAGATCCCATTTCGGGGCAGTGCTGTGGCATAGCAGGTTAAGCTGCTGCCTGCAGTGCCGGCATCCCATGTGGGTGTTGGTTTGAGACCAGGCTGCTCCACTTCCGATCCAACTCTTTGCTATGACCTGAGAAAGCAGTGGGACATGGCCCAAGTGCTTGGGCCCCTGTACCCGCATGGGAGACCAGGAAGAATCTCCTGGCTCCTGGCTTCAGATCAGCAAAGCTCTGGTCATTGGTGGCCAACTGAGGAGTGAACCAAAGTATGGAAGACCCCTTTCTCTCCCTGCCTCTCCTTCTCTCTGTGTAACTCTGACTTTCAAATGCATAAATAAATAATTTTTTAAAATCCCGTGTCAACAGACTCCTTGTTCTTACTTTACACTATGCTGCTCCTAATCCCAATATTTTCCTACGTAAAATGGTATACTTTACATATTAATAATCTACGAATTTTTCATAGTAAAAAGTGCTTGATTTGAACCCAACAACCCTGAACCTAGACTCTCTATTCAGGTCAAGTACTGATTAGTTAAGAGAACTTTATAAGTTTATTTATTCATTTGTCAGATGGTTATTGGGCACTTACTCGATCTCAGGTACCATTTTTAGAGGCTGGAAAGCAAACAAAAACTAACATTTTTGTTAAGGAAAATCAATAAACCAGCAAATAAATATTTGCTACACCAAGTATAATACATCTAATAAGAAAACTAAAACCAGATGACGAACCAGAAAATAACAGAAAGGACTCTAAATTTTTCAATTTTAGTTTTTAATTAGTTTTTAACAGATTCAATGTGATTTGTTTGTCTATGGCCATACCACCCTGAATGCACCCAGGCTCATCTGATAAAAAGTTTTATTAGAGAAAACCTGTCCAACAATAACTAATATTGTAGAGTTCTCAACATGTGCTAAGTTGTATATATATAATTACCATTAAACCCATGCATTATGCAATGAAGTAGGTCCTGTTAATAGCCCCTTTTACCAAGGAGGAAATTCAAGCCTGTAGAGGTTAACTAGCTTGCCCAGGTTTACCCAGGTGGTAAGTCACACAGCTAGGGTTTTAACCCAGGAGGTCTCTGCACAGACTGTCTTCTAAGCGCAATCCTGTGCTGCCTTTCTCATAGGATAACAACGGAGCAGGGAGCTCTCTGAGTGGCTCCTTCTCTGCCTATTCTGGACTCACTTGAGAACCATCAGGTGATGAATATACTCAAAACTAAGCACTGTGTCTGTTGCAAAACAGGCTTTGTAAGTCAGAATTCTTTGGCTGCAATTTGCAGAAACCTAAATGAAGATATCTGAATAAATAGGAAAAATGTATTGTTTCACATAAGCAAATTGCCTGGGGAAGGATAGACTTTAGAAATAACTAAGGTAGAGGCCGGCACTGTGGCGCAGTGGGTTAACGCCCTGGCATCCCATGTGGGCTCCAGTTCAAGTCCCAAATGCTCCTCTTCCCATCCAACTCTCTGCTGTGGCCTGGGAAAGCAGTAGAAGATGACCCAATTGCTTGGGGCCCTGCACCCACCTGGGAGACCCGGATTAAGCTCCTGGCTCCTGGCTTTGGATCAGCATAGCTCTGGCTGTTGGGCCAATTGGGGAGTGAACCTTTGGATGGAAGACCTCTCTCAATCTCTCTCTGCCTCTCCTCTCTCTATGTAACTGTGACTTTTAAATAAAAATAAATAAATCTTTAAAAAAAAAAAAAGAAATAACTAACGTCGAGGACTGAAATGGTTCACATGGAGACTTTCTCTTTCCTATCACATGTCTGTCCCTGTGTTGACTTAGTTCTTTCCTATAGAATGACTCTCTCCTTGTGATGAAGCAGGCTGCTTGCTGCATGCTTATTTTCTTTTACTTTTTAATAGCTAATTAATGAGTTCTTGCCATACTTATGAGTTTTAGCTGTATTCACTGATGACAATAACTCTCACAACAGCTTTGTACAATCAGAGCAACTATTGGGTCCATTTCCAGATGAATAAATTAGAACACAGAGATCTAAGTAGCTTATCAAATTCACTGGCATGAAAAGGAGAAAACCTTAGGTCGTCTGTTCCAGGGCTACTTAAATCAACATATTCTGCTTGGGCTACATTTTAAAATTAAATCAATTAATTACAATTAAATTAGGCCAAAAGATGTGTATGTACTGAGGTCAAACTTTGAACCACTAGCTCCAGGCAGATATTTTTCAGAGTCTAAACCATTTGATTTAATACCTTGTGGGATACATTTAATCTGTCTCCTGTTCCCTGTCTGTCTCCTCTAGGACTCTGTAGTCTCTGTACTTTGCTTTCTCTCTTCCTTTTTCATACCTCTGTTGGATCCTTGTTCAATGACTCAGAATCATCCTTCTGCCTTTGAAGCTAACTATCTGAATCATCTTTTCTGCTTTTGAGATTAGTTCCTAAATCTGTTATTGCATAAGGTTTCTTGAGTGCAATCTCAGTAAATGTGTTTCATATTTCTTTCTTTCTTTCTTTCTTTCTTTCTTTCTTTCTTTCTTTCTTTCTTTCTTTCTTTCTTTCTTTCTTTCCTTCCCTTTCTTTCTCTCTCTCTCTCTCCTTCCTTTCTTCCTTTCTTCCTTCCTTCCTTCCTTCCTTCTTTCTTTCTTTCTTTCTTTCTCTCTCTCTCTCTCTCTTTCTTCTTTCTTTCTTTCTTTCTTTCTTTCTTTCTTTCTTTCTTTCTTTCTTTCTTTCTTTCTTTCTTTTTTGACAGGCAGAGTTAGTGAGAGAGAGAGACAGAGAGAAAAGTCTTCCTTCCATTCGTTCACTCCCCAAATGGCCGCCACAGCCAGCGTGCTGTGGCCGGCGCTCTGCGCCCATCTGAAGCCAGGAGCCAGGTGCTTCCTCCTGGTCTCCCATGTGGATGCAGGGCCCAAGCACTTGGGCCATCCTCCACTGCCCTCCTGGGTCACAGCAGAGAGTTGGACTGGAAGAGGAGCAACCAGGACAGAATCCAGCACCCCAACTGGATCTAGAACGCAGGGTGCCGGCGCTGCAGGCAGAGGATTAGCCAAGTGATCCGCGGCGCCGGCCTCATATTTCAATTTCAAATATAAAAAAGTACTTCGTAACCTAGACAGACATTTCCAAAGAAGACATAAAAAATGGCCATGGCATATGAAAAATGCTCAGCATCACTAATCATTAGTAAAATGAAAATTTAGAAAAATTATGAGATATCACATCACATCTCTTACTATGGCAATTATCAAAAAGACAAGAGATAAGAAATGTTGGCAAGGGTATGGAGAAAAGGGAACCCTAGTTCACTGGCGGTGGAAATGTAGACTGACACAGTCATTATGGAAGAAAATATGGAAGTTCCTGCAGAAGCTCTGACATGACTCAGAAATCTCACATCTGTATATAACCAAAGGAGATGAAATTACCACCTCCTAAAGACGGATGCACTCCCAGGTTCATTGCATACTATTCACAATAGCCTTGTGTGGAAACAAATTAATGCCTATCAAGGATGACTGTAAAAGAAAATGGACTATAATGCAGCCTTCAAAAAGTTGAACTTGCCATTGGCCACAAAAAATTGAACTTGCCATTGGCCATAATGTAGATAAACTTAAAGGACGGTATGCCCAATGAGATAAACCAGACACAGGAAGAAAAATATTGTATTTTTAAAATATATTATACACATATATAGTATACCCTCATGTATTTGTAGAATCATAAAAAAAACTTGAATACTTATAAAATAAAGTGCTTAAAGAGATAAAGAAACAGTGCTTGCCACAGGTAGGGGGTAGGCAAATAGGAGCTGGAGAAAGGTAGAGATGAAGGGCAGAAAAGATGAAGGACAGAAAATAGGAGGTATGTAGAATGAACAACTCGAGGTCTAATGTACAACACATATATCTATAGTAATAATATTGCATTGTACTCAGCATTTTTGTTAAATGAGTAGATTACAGTTGCTCTTGCCATGGAAGAGGGGAATGAGAGATTATGGCTGTATTAATTTGTGCCACTCTAGAAACCATAGTTACTTATAACTGTTTTCTAACATCATATTGCATGCCTTAGATATACACAATAAATGAGAAGGTCTCCAACATGCAGAAATGATAAATGTTAGAGATGAAATGGTAAGTACATGATCTGATCATTATCCATGATAAACATATATCAAATTATAATATCATATTGCCCAAGTATGTGCAAATATTATCTATCTCTTTTAAAGTGCCTAGTGGTGGAGCTGGTGCTATGGCGTAGTGGGTAAAGCCACCTCTTGCAGTGTCAGGATCCCATATGGGCGCTGGTTCAAGTCCTAGATGCTCCACTTCCAATCCAGCTCTCTGCTGTGGCTTGGGAGAACAGTGGAAGATGGCCCAAGTCCTTGGGCCCCTGCACCCACCTGGGAGACCTGGAAGAAGCTCTGGTTCCTGGCTTCAGAGCAGTGCAGCTCCAGCCATTGCAGCCAATTGGAGAGTGAACCAATGGATGGAAGACTTTCTCTCTCTCTCTCTCCCTCTCCTTCTCTCTCTGTGTAACTCTGACTTGCAAATAAATAAAAATAAACCTTAAGAAAATAAAGTGCCTAGTGGAGGGAAAGTGACCGGACTTCCTAAAAAATGGAAGGAAGAGAAGACGGACTCTGACTGTCCTGGATCTCTGGGGCAGGCATCTGGGGTTGAAGGGAACAATTGGATCTGAAGAGCTGAGTCATTTTTCTTCAGGGGCTCTTTAAGACTTGCGCAACAGGTTTAGTTTCTCTGTTCCCTCCTTTATAAAGCTGTTTCTTGAACTGCTTTCAACTTCGCATTTTCTGAAAATGTGGACAGTAGTTCACCTTGTGAAAGTAATCTCCCAGCAAAACAACCAACATAAGTTCACAATTATGTGTTGAGAAGAAAGAGAAATAATTGATTCTTATAGGAATTCTGTAGAATTGAAGGCCATGTCTAAAATTGGAAAGCTCTCCTTAATTTGTGACTGCTAGGCATGGAAAAAGTTCTAATTTTGAAATCTTTATTACTCTTGCAGTTAAGTCTAATAGTCTACAATACTGAGTTTGTTTTCCTCATTAAAGAAAAAAAACCCATGAAATTATTTTTCTGGCAGCCCTAAATACGAATTCACTAAGTGGAATTTGAAAAATTGGTGACAGAATATGTAATTCAGTACACTCCAACTCCTTTAATGATGTTCAGTAATAGAGTCCCAGGTCTTGTTGGTGGCACACTTAACAAGGCAAATGCATATCAGGCAATTGGCTATCCACAATGTAGCACACAAGCAGTATGCCATGGGAAAGCTGCCAGAATCTGAAGTTCTTGTCAGGGACCCATTAGATTCTGAGTTCTATGGGGTAGAGAGGTTCTGTTACTCATTTATATATTCCAAATGCTAATCATGTTTTTTTACTGTATGACAAATTGTTCTATGTAGCTCATTGAATGACTTGCCTTTGCTGAGACAGAGTAAAGAAAAAATACAGTAAGAGAAGGGTGATCCAGCTTGAATGCAAGAGAGCCTGAATTAATGGATAGATGAAGAGATACAAATAGAAAGTGATAGAAAATTAGACTTATGGTTTGTGGGCTAGGGAAGTCAGGAGCGCTGAGAGAGCAAGGTGGTAACTTGTCTTAGACAGGGTCAAAAGATTTTTCCTTTGCAGAGCCTGGTGTTGGCTTCAGGGTTAGAGGGGAGTCCATGCAAAGGGGCTGGACACTAGCTCAAGACAGTAGGTTTTTTGTGTGGATGTTTATTTTTATCAGCCCTAAGCAGGTGGGTTCAAAATAATTTTTCATGGAAAGCATCATAGGACAACATAAAAGGGATTTTGGAAAAAGAATTGTCTGAAGACTCCCATATCCATGGTGGGCATTGAGACAGTGGGTTAAGCGGCTGTTTGGAACACCTGTATCCCATATTGGAGTTCATGTCCTAGCTGCTCTGCTTCTGATCCAGCTCTCTGCTAATATACATGAGAAACAGGGGATGGCATTTCAAGTATTTGAATTCTGACACTTATGTGGGAGACCTAAATGGAGTTCCTGGCTCCCAATTTTGGCCTGACCCAGCCTGGCAGTTACAGCCATTTGGATGGTGAACCAGTGAATGGAAGGTCTCTCTCTCTCTCTCCATCTCTCCATCTCTCTTTCTGTCACTGTCACTCTTTTAAGTAAATAAGTAATAAAATAAATATTTTTAAAAGTTACTGACATTCAACTATTATTCTTTTTAAAAAAATTATTTTATTTGAAAGGCAAAGTTACAGAGAGGCAGAAGCAGAGAGAGAGAGAGAGAAAGGTCTTCCATCCACTGATTCATTCCCCAAATGACTGCAATGTCTGGAGCTGCACTGATCCGAAACCAGGAGCCTGGAGCTTCTTCCAGGTTTCCCATGAGGGTACAGGGGCCCAAGCACTTGGGTCATCCTCTACTACTTTCCCAGGACATAGCAGAGAGTTAGATCAGAAGTGGAGCAGCCAGGACTCCAGCTGGCGCCCATATGGGATGCCAGTACTGTAGGTAGTGGCTTTACCCGCTATGCCACAGTGCTGACCCCTCCAACTATTATTCTTATTCTCACTTCTCATTATTCTTGTATCCTGATGAGTTGTAGGATCCACTTTTACCTGGAGAAAGTCCCCATCAGCATAATTATCATGATGATGTCAGGGATGATGATGATGATAGGACAATAGCTAACATTTACCGAACACTTACTATATGCCTGACAATGCCCAGTGTCATTTAATTTTCATGTTATTTCATTCAGTTCTTCCATCAAATAGATGCTAATTAATATTTCTATCTTACATATATGGGCAATAAGGCACAAAGAGTTTAACTTGCCCAAGCTTACATGGATCGTAAGTGAAGAATTTGGGCATCAATTAGATTTTCTTCTCCTAACTGTTATGATTTTCCTACTTAAGCTCAGATGCAGATGGTGTTTGAGAACAGTGTTGGTGATCTAGGCTGAGTTCCCAGAAGGCATTCTGAGCAATTAGATACCCATCCCACTTTGCTCTGCTTCCAAATCTCTCCAATATTTGCTTCTCTGCAGAGGCAAGTTTTCTCACTTGCACCAATATTGTGATGAACTTGTTCTAACAGTTTATAAAAAAAAGTAAAAATGAGGACATATGGGAAATCTGAATTTGGACTAGGTATGAGATGGATAGAAATGTGATAATTTTTTCAGAATGAAGAGTGTATAAGAAAATGTATAATTGATAGGGATACACACTAAATAATTTAAGGGTTAAAAGTCTCGGTAACTGGACCTTACTTAAAAATAATTTAACATAGATAAAATAACTGAAGGAAATATGAGATATTTTTAAAGTTCATGAAAAATGGAATTAGATTCATAGAAAATGGAATTAAAAGAAAAGTTTTTTGGTCCAAAATTTTCCACATCCTATAAATTCAAAATGTTCATGTAAAATGTGTATTGTGAAAAACTATTAGTGGATTTCAAAATTTTTTGCACTAAAACAGACATCTCTTAATTCCATTTCCATGGACTTTTTGAAGAAATCTAGGAGCATACAATGACAATAATTGTTAAGATCTGGTGATCACTATTTGGGACTTTATTGTAATATTCTATTTTGAAATGTATTTGAAATTCTTACAATAAAATCAGAATAAATATAACATTACGCTTTCCTAATTCCATATCATCATGCTTCAAATTCCTAAAGTAGTAAACAGTACACAGTTCCCTGATGTAAACCATCTCTGAACATCATTTTCTTTCCTGGACCCATTCCTGTCTACAATGAACAAGCAGTGTGAAGGGCATTTATCTGTCCATAGGAGTAGATTACCAACAGCAGCAGCAGATACAAAAGTATGTGGCATTCTCCCCTGGCTGAACCCCTTATAAGCTCACAGACTTGAGGTAAGCAGCTACCTTCTTTAGGCCTTTTCTGGGAAAGGGGCTGTAGTTGCATCTACATGCAGACTGTTGTTAGGATTTAAGAGATAAGGTACATAAATCACTCAGCTCATTCCCTGTAACATGGTGGGCACTCAATAAACATTATTATTTTTAGCAGCAGTCAAAGATTTATGTTCTACCTCAGAAGTAGTTTCCAGATGGCGGTTTGAGAAAAATCACCACTTAGTAATGAAAAAGCAATACAGTACAATTCATTTTTCATCTTTCATACCTCAAACAGAAATATTGTATGAGTTTTTTGTGTTTTTTTTTTTTTTTTTTTGACAGGCAGAGTGGACAGTGAGAGAGAGAGACAGAGAGAAAGGTCTTCCTTTGCCGTTGGTTCACCCTCCAATGGCCGCCGCGGCCGGCGCGCTGCGGCCGGCGCATCACGCTGATCCGATGGCAGGAGCCAGGTGCTTATCCTGGTATCCCATGGGGTGCAGGGCCCAAGGACTTGGGCCATCCTCCACTGCACTCCCTGGCCACAGCAGAGAGCTGGCCT